TAAAAAATTATTTTTTGAGGAACGATCATAGTTTCAAACCAAAAATCAAATATGGTTAGATGCGCAATAAAATTCTCTATCGAACCTGCTATTCAGCTTTTTGATACTTTCAAATTTTTAAATCCGGTAGGGTCCTTTAGGGATCAAAATCCTATAAAAACTTCAAAAATTTCTTTCTCGAAAACTACGAATCCAAGAGATCAGAAAATTTCAGGATATATACCTCAGACTTTCAACGAATGTTTAAGTTATCTGCTAATGGCGGCTATTATTGACGGGTAACTCTTAAGAATTATTCTGAAGTCGTCTACATTTTCTATAAGTTTTTTTAAAATTCCATTTTCCGAAGCAATGTATCAATTCGTTTGCTTAAATTCCAGGAAATGTGTAGAATTCTATGTGATTCAATTCGTCTTTTGGTTTAAACTATATTTATTTGTAAAGAAAGAAATAACCCTGGTAACTCTTCTACTAAGGTGCATGAACATTATATAGTTGGAGAGTGACCTTACAAGATATTTCCCTAACCATTAAACACAAACAATAATAATGAAAGAAAAAAGTTGTTCTGAAATAAAAAGAAGTGGAGTAGTAAAAAGATAGTTCTACATTTAAAATTTGCAGTATCAATAACATATTGTATAATCATTCTGTAGAGATCAATATACAGCTCAAAATCCAGATCTTATCATAGTAGTAGTAGGTTCATGTCGATATCGGTGTTTGAGTCACGTTGTTGTATTTGTTCGAATAGATTTGCTCTCGTCAGACGATAGTTAGGGCAGGAAAGAAAAATATTTTACTGTCTCAGATCTTCCGCACTCACATAGCTTTTCTGTGATAATTAAATACCTCCTAAATAAGTCATTGTTTAAGACTGACATATCCACTCTCATCTGATAAAAAGCGATTCTGTTCGTCTTTTGTTTTAAAGTGAAATTCAAGCAAAAACAGATGCTGTTATTTTTTGTTTTTCTGTATGACTAAATGTTATGATTATTATGTTTATGTATTCAGTTATGTTCTTCTATTGATATGATCTGAGTTGTGTGCGAATGTTCCTATATATAACTGTTGGGGTATTACAGAGGCTAAATTTGGATTCATATGTCTACGTATTCATGAATGTCTTCGATTCTACGATTTTCAAACATAGATGCTGACTAACAGAGGACATTGTATCTAATGACTCACTTTCATGCTACACCTTACCACTCCGTCATCTACTGTTCTGCATACAGATTCACGCACATGTATGAGTCATTCTGAGATACACAAGCAATGTCAGTGTTTATATGTTTCAGACAAATTCTGACGATTTCTTCTGTGTAAGTAAATATTTCTGAAACTATACGTAGTAAATAGATGAAAGGTCTGAGTTTACGTGAACAAATAAGTTCTGTGGAAATACATAGAATTCTATATAATCGAAATCTTTCATACGGTTTCTTTTGGCTTATTGATGATACATTGTTATTCGATGTACAAATTGTTTTATACAATACCATATGATTTCGTAGAATTCTATTCGTCCTTGAATTCATTTTTCACAGTAACTCCGACCTTTGATCTATTTGTTACTTTATGTTTCAATCTCTGTAGTATTCTAAGATACTCTTTTCCCTATAGTGAGCTGAAAAAATGACCACGTTTACTATGAAACATGTTTAAGCTGGACTAAAATAAGCATGGTTAAACGTGAAAAATGTTGTAGCTGAACGACTGAGAAATAAACAAAATGAAAAATAAAAAGGTGCTCACAAATCCCAAGCAGGATGACTTCCTGTTGGAATTTCGCTTTTCGTATACCTTACTACAAATAGTACAATTTTGACAATAAAAAATACTGTTGTCAATATTAAAATAATTAAGACGTAAATTTGATTTCGAGAGCCTTCTTTGAGGAGAGTATGATGTTTGGCAATAATACCTGCGAGCGCTACATACAAAACTAGCCAAGGTGACCATGTATACGCCATTGAACAATAAAATACAAAATTTTCCAACACCCAATAGCTAATAACACCCAAAAGAACAATAGTTAAACAAATAGTGGTAGCCCAACCCTCAATTCTTAACGATAATTTCGGTTTTATCCATATGGCCAAATTTAAATTCGCAGCAATCAATAGCCAAGTGGCATACAACGCCAAACCATTGATAACAAGAAAACGAATTAACCATATATCAGTAGTACTAAACATTGAAAATAATTTTTTAACGTACAAGTGGTTTTACATAAACACATATACGTACTACGTATATCTGTTTCTGCGTCAATTCGCTTCTGATCCTGGCAGAACTGGGCAAGTCACAAGTCAAATCACTAGAACATTTTTCAAGTCAAGGCAAGTCTAGTTAAAATTAGACAGAACATAAAATTTTCTAGCGCCTTTTGGATGAGAGAGAGCTTTTATAGTCTTAGAAAGGCTCTTTCATGGCAGGAAATGCCTAATTTAAACGAAAATCTGATACTAGAAATCACTTGGCTTGAAAAAAATTTCTTAAGTCAAGTCAGGTCACACCTCAAAAAAATTTGGATCAAATCTTTGAGTTGACTTGACTAGGCAGTAGAGTCTCATGCTCTATATCTCGATCGGGATATATATCCCGTTTTGAATCAAAATATATCCCGATCAGGATATAGCCAAAAAACATATATCCCAATCGGGATATAAATTAGACTTTTTTAAGTAAAATTCATTAGTGAAAACATGATGATGTTGGCGGAAAGTTTTGACCATACCATCGAAAAGAAAAAATTGCATCAGATTCTTTTTTCCGATCAGCAACCATTTTTTAAAATTCTTTAGGTTCATATTCTATATCCCGATCAGGATATTTTACTTTTTTTACTAGCTATTTTAACACTTTCTCGAAGTATTTTAACATTTTCTCTTAAGGCAGCGATATCCAGTGAAATGTTCAGTTAAAGTCATGCTCGTCCACTGTGATTCGTCGTCTGCGCAGCAAAGTAAACAACATTGTTTATAAAACAAGATTTCGGATGTGTAAATTGCTTTCAAAAGTTTAAAGTTTTAAAAATAGCGAAGCGTTTTCATCGCTCAAGTTCTGGCGGCTGATATGTTATGTTCTATATCATCTTTGCACTACAAGCACCACAGTAACTAGTTTTTGGTGGTTTTAAACTACGGTCCTCTTCTTTTTAAACTGCGGTTCATTTCTTTTATGCTTTGCTTCTTTCTGTTCTATCCTTATCTCTCTCAATCAAAATATATATACCTTTTCTGTTCTGTGATGTAATGTCTCTCTTAATTCTCTCTATAACTCATCGCAGAGTATGCAGGCTTTGGTCGCTGATCAAGGATATAAGCTGTATGGGTTGAGCAGCGGGAGTAGAACACACTATAGCAATGCACAGGATGGGGATGAGAACACCTCAGAGTTTACTTTTGGACAATTTAGTCCAAAAGTAAATTCTTTGCATTTGAATTCAAAGTTCAAGTGTTCGATTCTATCAACTGTGTAGTGTTCTTTTGTGCTTTGCTTCTTTCTGTTCTATGCTTATCTCTCTCTCTCTCAATCCTACTGTAAGGAAACTATATCCTGATTGGGATATATAAAACGGCAGATATCCCGATCGGGATACCAAAAATAAGATCCCGATTGAGATATGGTTCCTCACTGCTAGGATTTGAGGTATTTTTGATTTGACTTGCCCAGCTCTGGATCCGAGTCTTTAAATTTTCAGTCGATCAACAAATTTTGAAATTTAGTCAATCATGATTCAGAAAGAGTTGGATCGTTTCGGCTCCTGATACGTACAATCCTAAATTCCGATAATCTGATCGATAATTCCATAGTAGAACATGAACAATAATCGTCGCAGCAACAATTGTGAAAAACATGGCAAAAATAACCAATGTTCCAATCTAAAACACATAGTAATACCCGTAGTTATACATTTATTTGATTTTTTTCAACGTTGGAATGCGCTCGTGTTCTGAACGCTCTACTGGTCTTCTATATTGAATTTCCAACTTACACCAAATTTTAATCGATCCCATAATATTAACCAAGTACTATTGAGTAACATATTGACGATGAATAAAATAAACACGGAATAATGTAATGTAAATGGATGTAAATACAAATAGCCAACATCTGTTTTACGCCATATACACACAATTGCATATATTATCCATATTAACTAAAGTAAGAACATATAACATTTGAAGGAGAAACCGAATCAGAATCAACTCTTGTTGCTTACTTGCCACATATAAATCAAACCCCAAAGTGAAAAAGTCGGACCAGCCGGAGTAAACTCGGTAGGATTCTCATCAGATATTTGAGCAGTATTTTTTCGAAACAGTTCTAAAAGACAAGATAACAATTAATTTTACAAAATGTAGAACATAATAACTTACTATTTGGTCCACTTTGTGCTAGTCCATTAATAATACAAGTCAAAATAAATGCTACCAAACTTAAAAATATCGATGCAATTACTCCACCATCGTGTTCATACGTCGTACCGTTAATTGCTCGAGCATCAATTACTAATGAAGCTAAAAATTAGAAAAGAATGACTAATAAATAGAAGAACTATTGAAAATTAACGATTTAAATAATTTACTTCTTAGAATATTGTCTATTTAAGTCAAATAAGCCAAACCAGAAGTTAAATACAATATGACTTACCCATGGTTCACAATAATATTATTTAATTACATAAAATCTTTTCATCGTTTAAATAGATATGTACGTTATTGATGAGTAACTTAGGTAATTCACCTGTATATCATAAAATATATCTCATGTCCTTGAAGCAATAAAAGTTTCTCTACGAGTTTAGTGAGTAGAAACATTACGTAAATATCAACCATCGTCTCTTGTATTTTCTGAGTACTTTGTAAAAGAAGAGTTCTCTATAACATTATAGATGAAAGTGAAGGAAAGAAAAAAAAGAACATGTAGGTGAAAGAAATCTCAAAGTGGTTACATAACGAAATAAATCACATCATATTTCAGAATTATTTCCCTGTAAAGAAACACTCTTTAGTTTATCTGTAACCACCTTAACACATCGACTCATTGAGAAACAAAGCTGTCTTGTTTTAAACCTTAAACTGTACGTAGATCTAAAAATAAAGTATTACAACTAATCTTCTTTATAGACGAAGTCTAAAGATTTTCTACTGTGACCATTGTAATAGACATATGTAATATCATCCAGAACCTATCGTAGTATACAACTGATACTGTAATATGAGTCGTCTTTATGTTTAAGAAACAAATTATGTCTGTAATTATTCCCATAAAAGTATAGAAGGGTTTATTGCTGCAATTTAAGTCAAGTGGATAAAATTGAAAATATTGTGATAAACTATTATGCTGAAATGAAGGATTATTTTGTATTTCAATTAATTAGTATGATTATCGTAAAGAACTAATTCATATCGATAAGTTTCAAATTAATAAATCGTTAATTACTAAGGCGCGCGTAATTCAAAAAACAAGTACTGTTTTATTTTTAGCTTCTTTATATGTAATTCGATAGAGAATTTGAAGCTGATCACCAATATCGCCTTTTTGGCCTTCCGAGTGCACGTTTGCGCGTCGAAAAATTGAAAATACGGGAAGGGTTTTAAAATCCGAAAAAACTTTCCCGTTTCGAAAAAAGTTGAATACTTTTTCTTTTTTCACTTTTTTGTTTTTCGAAAGGACGGGGGAGGAAAAGCGAGTGTCGAGCACCGCAATAAAACTCAACGAAACTTACATATTCGGAATCAGCGTAAAATTCTGAGTATTTCAGCCGTCTCACTTTTTCAAAAAATCGCATTTTGATTTTTATCGAAAAATTT